CTCCCCGCTGCGCTTGGCTGTGGACCGACTGTTTTTATTTCATCCCACGCCCAGCCCCGGCCGGGATCCTCACTCCCTATATCGGTAATCTCAGGGTACAGGGGCATGTTCGTCATACCTTGGAAGATTCCAACCAATGTCGGGGGCATCTCAGCTAGGGCATCTCGCACTGGTTTCACGGGTGCGGCCAACTCCACGCTGTACTTGTGCTTTTGCCGTCGGATGCGGGCATTCTTGAGATCTGGATGCTGATCGACATCGGCCCGAACAATTTCCGCCGCCGCACGCACGATCTCCATCCTCGCGTCAGCCTCTTTCGCTTCTTCGAGAAGACGCCTCACTATCTGCAGGGACGTACTTCCACCGGACGTGGCGTTTGCGGGTGTGCTCGAACCATCGAACGTGTTCGCCAGGCGCGCCCGTAGGGCGAGGGATGCGATAACCTCATCCCGAGCGTTGCCGAGGAAGAGACACAGTAGTCGTTGGCGCCCGTCTCCAAAGCCCCCCTCGCTGCTGACCACCCGGTCTTGGCTCCCATCAGCGCTCGCGATGCTCTCGAACATCTGACACACGGCCTTCCGCCCGCTCCTAAGCTCAAGTTCTTGGTCACCATCCTTTGCGCGCTCAGCTGAGAGCCAGTCGAACACATCCTCCCAGTAAAGGATATCCCCGCGAGCTACGGCTTTACCAACGCGCGCACCCGGCTGAACGGCTTCTCCGGCGCCGGTTCATCGAGTTGCTCGATGCCGCAACCTTTTTTTGAGTAGCTTCTCCGATGGCCCGGATTCGAGGTTGATTGCAGGCCTGGCAGTACCAAGCTTGTGTGCGTCCTGATCCACCACCCTCCGTATTATTACCGTCCACGACGTCCACACTGTACCACGTCTTCTGGTCCTTCACAGGGTACCCTCTCTTGCACACGCTACATGTTCGGAGCTCCGGCTTTGCTTCCCTCTCGAGAAGAAAACCGTAGAAACAATCTCGGCGTTGGCAAATGCAGTCGATGCTGGGACAAAATCCTCGCACGAGAGGTAGAGGCAGCTCCCCCTCTCCTTCTTGGTACTCGGCCAAAAACAACCGTGCCGCTCGTTCAAGCCGTGGCCCTCTGAGGTGCGTGAAGCCAGCTAAGTCCTCCGACCTATGGCATGCGGAGCATAGCTTGTCATTGACGGCGTGCACTACGCCTGAGGGGCACATGCTGCATTCGAGACCCGGGTTGTTTGTGAACCAACCGCCCTCCGCACGCCTACAAGGTTTCTTGCTTGTTTTTTTCTCGGCTCCGATCTGAGGATTCCTGACTCCAGGATCAGACTGTCTTCGCGCTGCACTCCGCTTGACGGAGCGAGAGCCAGCTGTTCCAAGCTTTCCACCGCAACTTCGACGCCGGAATTCAACTGTCCGCTTGCCTCCAGACTCCAACTTCTCACGTTCAGCTTCGGCAATCTCTCGCTCTCTGCGGACCTTAGCCTGTTGCCTCGCCTCCTTTTGCAGCTCACTGTACTCCTCGTCTGCCATCCTCGTCTCAAAGACGGCTTGCCGCCTCTGCCCCAGCGTCCGTCTCTTTCTGCGTTTCCTACCGGATCCCGTACGGCTTCCCGGATCTCGGCCACGCGCGCCGGATCCCGCCACTCGCTTAGTTGCGACGCCAGGCGTACTTGCGGGTGTCGCCTCTGGGGAAGCGGTGCCCAGGCCGCCTCCCCGTTGACAAGTAGCCGTAGACCCCCCCCCGCTGCTACCATTAACAGGATTCGACGGAGTTCGTGGGGGGCGACTACGTGGGTGGCGCGTCCTCCTTGGTGTCGCTTTTCCTTCAGCCGGACTGCATGTCCGTCCACGTCTTGGTTCAGGGCGAGGAGACGCAGGCGGTGTCAAGGTCTGCTCTGTATGGCTCTTGTCGCCGCTCCTCCCCCCCCGATGCCCGCTACTCCTACTACGTCTCATCGCGCGTCGGCTCGATCCTCCCTCTCCGGACAGGCCTTAGGCCAAGGATACCCTGAAATCGTAACGCTCACACAAAGGAAGCAGATAACTCGGCGTTATCCGTGTATAGATAATAGGTACCATGACACTCAGACAGCAGTCATTCATGGCATCCCATCCCAAAGTCAGGTGCGTGTACAGTATCGAAGTAACGCGGACCATCCACAAAGATGCGTTCGTTTCGAACGTCAACCTTCTCTAGATGTGGTCTGGGGTTCAGAAAAGTCGCTTCCACCCTCGCTTGATCACCAAAAACCATGGACCCTGCTCCGACAGAAAGTGAGCGTATCCCGCCGCGTGCTTTCTGATATTTCCACAGCAGTTTGACATGTGCAGTGAATGTTTAAGACAACCCAATCTGCTGTGCTGCGGTGCATGTATGCAGACCTGCGTTTCGGATCTATCCAGCATAGCGCAACAATATTGAACTTTGATCTCAACATGCTTAGTCTATCTTCTGACGGATCAAATCGCTCCAAACCTTTTGTAAAAGATGCACCAGTCAGTACCTGAGTGCATGATGTTGGCGACATTTCGTTGCAATACGATAGACTCGTGGAGAGACTGCAGCGCATCCGACCCTTACTCGGAGATTCCGAGTTGTCCTACGGTGGTACGCCCTGAGAAAAAACTGGAAATCTACCCCTACGAACTAGCCCCGACTGCTGTAAAACAAAGGGTGCACGTGCAGCACTGCTTGTGTAGTCACTGCAAAAAATAAAAAGATCGTTGCCCTCCCTCCCCCCACCTCTTTGGTGTGTACATATGCGTCACCCCTCGGCGTCTGATGTGTCGCGCATCATATGCTCCGTGTGCACGGAACACTTACACGCGGGAACCTCCACCCCTCACTTGAAAGGGCGGCGTCTGTGTGCAGTGTACAGTAATCGTCTAGTGATTGTGGGTTGGTGGCAGGCACTTGGGTCAGCGGTGGTAGACACGTGCTGGCTCTGTTTGTTCTCTCGGTAAACCCGCCGCTGTTCTCGTCACCTTGGTCACGTTATCACGTTATCACGTTTTTGTTGACAATTTCTTGGTTCGGCACGTGGTACAGTACATCTACCCGCGCAGGCCACGGCGTGTGTGCGTGTGCACAAGCACCACCGAGATGTTCCAGAGAGACATTGACGAGGAGGGGGAGGCCGCGCCGCTGCTGCGAGCAGGTCGTCCTCACGGGAGTAGCGAGCGAAAAGAGAGAGGTTCCTCCATCCAGAAACCAGCAGCATGGGAGGCAGGTCATCAGCAGCACGAGGATGTTGGTCAAGCCAGGAGGAAACGAGGTCGCGTCGAGCCGGTCGCCACGCTGTCGGGGGCGGGCTCTCGTTCCGTGCTGCTGGCCATGGTGGCGGCAGTAGGCGCCGCGTTGTTGGTGATCGGCGTGGGTTTCATGTCAGCACCTAATACGATCGCCGGCGCCTCGCGGCAGCAAAGAGCGGATACGAGGGCGAGCCTGGCAACATCACCAGCGGCGGCAGGGGGCATTGCGTTAGGCGGTGCGGTAGAAGGAGGACAGAACAATGGCGCCGCCGCTGGTGCTGGTGCTGGTGCTGGCCAGGGCGGTGGCAGCACGACAGCAAGGGGGGGCTGGAGATCTCAAGCAAATAGGGCATCATCAGGTACGGCAGTACGTGTACAGCAGTAGCTGGCATCACATCATGTTACTTGCCTGTAGCACGTGACAAGCGCAGCGGCAACTTTTGCTCGCATGTAAACGTTATCTCACAGAAAGACAGTCTGAATGGTTTTGTTGTTGTTGTTGTTGTTGTTGTTGTTGTTGTTGTTGTTGTTGTTGTTGTTGTTGTGTTCACATTATAAACCGTTCCGATCTCTCTCTACCCAGTACCTTTGTACGTCCGTGCTGATCCAACACTCGACGCGGTCGATTCCCGTGGTCGGAGGCTAACTTACCCTGAAAAGGTACACTCAAATGAACTGGCCCCGAGGGGTCCGCAAGTGCATAGAAATCAGAGATATTCTGGAGTCCTCCACTCCGTCTGCGCGCTATGCGAGGTAACAACTGAGACTAGGAGTCACCATCACGGGCCGGAGAGAATGAGGTACACCCCCTTGGTTCAATAGTGGTACTTCACAACGCAAGGTTTTGGGAAGGTACTGACTGTGTCCATCAGAGAACCGGGTTTTCCCCACTCTGGCAACACACACCCGTTCCCCTTGCCCATGCGTGAACACACCACGGGCTCTACCGTACATCATGGCAGACCAACAGCAGTATCACCATGAAATGAAAGACGTCCCCGTTAGTCCTGGTATGTGTCCAGAATATTCACCTGCACGAAACCGGACGGGCACTATTCAAGTACAGCAGTCGTTGCCACAGTTGTAAGAGAGATCATTCAAAAGAAATAAAGGTTTCAAGAGTAAAACTAGTTTGTCACGCCTCTGGCCGACTGGAGATACATTGACATGATCCCATTTTGCCACGTTACATGAAGTCTCTCTCGTGCACGTCTGTTTTGCTTTCCTCGGCCCTTGTTCACTCGTCGACCCTACCTTAGCCTCACAGACATGGCGTTGTGCACGCCGCACTTCTTGCGCGGCGATATCCTCGTCTGAACAATTATAATAGCACTTTCCCCCGAGTACAATGGCGGTCGCACAACGGCTGACCCCGAAGAGCTGTCCTTTTCTGCTTGTTCAGACTGATCGAGCTCGTGTTTTTTATTCATCTGAGACGAAAGACCCATGAACCCGACACACTAATACCTGCCTCTTTTTTTTTCTTAAGAAAGGGGCCAATATCATGGCTCGCTGTTCTTGTTTCATGGTATTCAGTTCAGTCATTATTTGCCGAGTGGGCACAACGAGGCGCTGACTGAAAGAGATGCAAATGCGGATGGAGCGATACCTACATTACCTTCCGGACACGCGACATACGGAAATTATGCTCGAGGAGCGGGCGCTTTGTGAGCTGCCTTTGAAACACAACCGTGACTCGCGGGGTGTGACGAGCATACAGCAGTCGACAAAAAATATGGAGACATCGTCGTGAGGTGACTAAATAGGCGCTAGACGGGTAATGTGTGCGCCGCTCCTCACCCACTACATTGTTTTTCGCTAGGTGTGTATGCGCGTGTGCGTGTCCTCACGCCTTTCTGCCACCACACTAGACTACTTCTCGTCTCCGTCACTGCCAAAAGAATTACAATTACCCTCAACACATCGTCATCGCTTTCATCCCAACTACTGTTGGGTGTGTTGTCTTCGGTCTTATGCATACATGGTGAAGTAGTAATGGGAGAGTGTGTACATTCTCCTGACCATGGCTATTTTTTTGCGTGTCGACTTCCGCTACGCGCTCCCCGTTCTTCTACTCTCTGATGCTTGTCGTTATACAAGACCGACTGCTCCCCTCCTGCCTAGATGGCATACTCCTAAGCCATGTGACCGTTCCCCACGTCATTCTCGCATTTTTCAGGCATTGCCGTTAACGGCAACGGCGATGGCAGTCCTGGTTCCGTGAGCACCTCCAAGCCGAACGTGTTCTTTTTCCTTGTGGACGACATGGGTTTCGGGGACATGGGTTACCAGTCCACCGACCTGTCCGAGATCACACCTAACCTCGATGCGCTTGCCGCGGGCGGGGTAAAGGCAAGAATTTATCAGCTTTTTTGGTAAATGTATAGGTTGTTGTGCAGCATGCACAGCTTTTAGCTTACTTGGAGTATCTGTAGTGTTGCAGTAGGCCCCGCCAGGGGGCACGCCGGGCAGGGATATCGACGCGCTTGCGGGGGTTGCACGAGGGAGGACAACGCTTGTATGTTTTGCAACTCGAAAGGCTTGCCTTTTGCCTTTCAGAAGAATGAGTTGTTCCCGGAGTTGGTTCGTGTTTTCTGTCATTGAGGACCCTTTTCGTATGCACATGTCGTTTGTTTGGGTGTTTGGTTCTTGTTTCACTTCATTTTCTGTGCTGAATATCTTCCTCCCACCTTTGTTCTGATGTTTTTGCAGCATGTGTAGCGCGCACAGCGGCTTGTGGTCCGCATTCTTTGGTTGCTTCCTCTCTATTGTCTTCTTGGCACCACACGAACCCCGACCGATTGGTTGGCTGTCGGATGTATTCACGTTAACACCCTGACCCCGCCATCTAGTAGTGTTGAGCAGGAAGGAGCATGCTTGGCAAGGGAGATTGCTGCCCAGCTTCCCGAGTGCAGCTTTGGTCTTATTTGCTATGGATACGAGTCACCTCTCTGGTGCCACTGCTGTTGTACTTGTAGTACTTCTGTGGCTTCCGGCGATATTTAGTACTGGTAGCTACTAGCTGTGACAAATCTCGGTAGCTCTGCAGAACCGCGGGGCGATTGTCGGCACTGAGTGAGTTACTGGTGGCGGCCATGTTGGTGTTGGTGTCGTTGGTATTGTGCCCTTTGCCCTGGTCATCGATATTGACAGTGGCAATATGAACAATGTTGCCTATGATCTCATGTTTCTTGTGTGTAGTGTTACTCAGCACCCCTCGTTCCCGCTCCAGCTTTCTTCGCCTCGACCTCCAACCCCGAACTTTCTCTTTTTTTTGCTGCCCCTTCCCCCTTTGTCGTCATACCTGTAGCTTTCCAACTACTACACGATGACGCTCTGCACTCCGGCGAGAGCTAGCATCATGACCGGACGTTACCCCGTGAGGTACGGGCTGCAGTACGCCGTCATCATGCCCGGCTCGCCCTGGGGACTACCGACCAGCGAAAAGGTAGGTACTTAGTGGGTAACGTGAGTTCCTCACTGGCACTCTTTGTACGTGGCGCGTGGCGTGTTTATTGCTGTGCTTGTGTGAGTCCGCAGGGTTCGATGAGGTCCGAACATGGTGTTCGTTTCGGCTCGTTGTTTTTCTCTTTCTTCCGTTGTTTCTAGTTTTCATCTGTTGTGCGTTGGTTGGGCCGGGATGGCCGTGCTTCTTGTGAGGTGGGCTTTTTTTTTGTTGTTTGAATCGACGAGAGCGCAAGGAGAACAAGGCGTCGTAGATTGAGGTGAGAGCGATGGGCTTATCGCGAAGACCACAACATTACAACACATCACCACCACAGCATGACAAACTGTCAGACTCCTCATGAGACGTGGTGTACCTACCGTACGCGCAAGAATGACGAGACATGAGCAGCCCCGTGGTCGTTGTTGATTCCAACTATTGTGTGAAGTTCAACAAGCATGATTCAGTCTTTCTCTCCGCCTGCTCGCCCGTCCCCTCAACAGATTCTGCCAGAGTTCATGAACGAGGCGGGATACGAATCGCACATGGTGGGCAAGTGGCACCTGGGGAGCTACAGCGAGGAATCCCTCCCCAGCAAGCGGGGATTTAAAACCTTCCTGGGCTACCTTAATGGCATCGATACGTACTACAGCCACAAGGTGCGGTGCCAGTACCGTTGCCCTTCCCAAAGGTGCTATTTTCTGACGGCACTATTTTTCAAACAGCAAGTTTTTTTCGTGGTATGCATGACATACGTAACCAATAGGCTGGATGCCGCTCAACCCTGTCTTTCCGTCACCGATCTAAGTCCGTCCTCCTCCAACCGCAAGTCGTATACGATACCGCAAGTTTTTGGCGTTTTCTTGTGGGTGATGTGGGGGTACGATACGTACCATTCGTCATCCATGCCTTGGCCCGCTCTGTCGCTGCCAGGTAGCTATTTTAGCCAGCTAGCTTTCCTCAAACCCGGCCACGTGTGGGTGCCGACTAGTTTGGTTTAGGGTTATTGTAATTTCATGGTCGGGGACGGTAACGGGGCTTCATACTTCTTCGCGGGACCCGCGCACGCTCCGGCGAAATGCATGTCACGGGGAGTTTCACGTCACGCTAGGTGCTATGCATATGCACATCCACACACGCGCCCTTCGACGTGGCGGCGGGAAGTAGTCAGCCACCGGGCCGTTCGGCGCTTCCTTTCCCCGAACGCTCTCAAGAACTGCTCTGATCTGAACTCATCGTCACCTCCTCCTGCTCTCTTTGTTCCCCCCCTCTTTGTTTCTTGTATGCCTCTTGTGTGGTGTGTACCGTATATCTAGAACCCCGAGGCTTCGGTAGACGGACGGCACTTCTTCGACTTCGGTTACGGGAACGCCACCGGGTACTACGACGTTACCCTCCACAACCGTGACAAAATCGTCGGGGGGGCGTGTACGGACGGAGGGCCGAGATGGGGAGATGTCATGGAGAATGAGGACCCCGCGGACGTGTGCTTCACGGGAACGTACTCAACTGACGCTTTCGTCGGCCGGGCTAAGCAGGTGTGGCTTGTGGCTCCCGCCGCCGTTTTTTTTTTGCAATTGATTTTTGTACATGCGTGCATGCGGTGACTACGGTCGGGAATTTGCTTCCTTGGGTAGCATCGACCAGTTGGGGTAGCCCGCTGGCTAATTTTAGAAGGCAACAATCTTGTAGCGGGATGTGCTCATGTCGGTCCCATTCGGTGTCACGCCAGTGCGCACTCTACACACGTCTTGCTGGGTATGTACGTTTGACGTATCAGCCGCGGTCGCGTAGGAGGAAAGTCACACAGGAGCTGTCTCTTCGCGACTGATGGCAAGGGTCAGAAGAGTACGCCGCTGTTGATCTGTCGAACCTATCACCGCGTGCGTATGGCGAGCGGTGCCACTGATGCTACATGCATGCACACCGGTAGTGATGGCTAACATGACCATGATATCTGGAGAGATGGAGTTGAGTCATTGACGGTAAAATAGGTTCGCAGATGGAGACCACCGCCTCGTACTCTCCCCTGATCCCCCCCCCCCACCCCTCTCCCCTTCNCCCCCACCCCTCTCCCCTTCACGCTTTGATGCGCGCCTCTGCAGATCGTCAAAAATAAAACGCCGTTCGACGAAGACCCTCTGTTCATGTACATTGCCCACCAATCCGTTCACTCCCCTACCGGTCCCGCGCCGTACGGTAAGTGAAGCATCAACATGCAACCCGCGCTAGATAGGAGACAGCTTTGGAGAGGTTCTCGAGGGACTCACCCCGGCCACCCGATTGGCATCGGTGATCGGTCCTGTGGGAACAGTTTTTGGTCCCCTCAAGGACGCGTGGTCAATGGTCTCACAGTAACAGTAACAGCTGAGGCATGCCAACACGAGTATATCCCCCCCCCCCCCCCCCCCCCCCCCCCCCCCCCCCCCCCCCCCCCCCCCCCNCCCCCCCTCCCCCCGCCTCACGATCCTTCTCGATTGGACGACGACTGTTTCTAGTGTGGGACGGGGTTGATGCACACGGCGAAACAATAGTCGTGTGTGTGGTTGTAGTTATGGAGAAGGTTGCGTTTTGGCTGTCTTGTGGGTGATGGGATGGATTTCTTGAGAGACCCGTAGTTGTACCTTCCTTCGCTTGCCGACTATATCGTCTACCGTCGGCTCGCTGCCGCATTTTGTGTGCGACTGTAAATCGCACCCTCCCGGAGCTACACATCGCTCGGTTGCTCGTCAACGGAGAGGGCAGGGCATCACTGACGAAGAATGGCCGGTTTTGGAAGAGTGTCGTTCGAGAACAACCGTTGGGTCTATCGGGCGTTGATCTAATCCTCAACTGCCGTTGCGTTGTGGACGCCTCTAGGTGGGTTTCCGCCACGACCGCACGGTAGATATCTTGATCTAGGACATACATTGTAATCGCGGACTTTGGCTTTCCCACGCTTCCACCCCACCCCACCCCTGTCTCGCGCGTGCACTGTTGTTGTTAATGTGTCAATATCATTGTACCTGCAGAGGAGTTTTCACCAGAGGAGCTTGCGTTATTGGATGCCGTGAAAGATGCGACGGATTCGGAGAAGAGAACCAGATTTGCGGGGGTAAGCAGAATATTTTTGCTTGTGGTTGTGCTTAGGAGATTGGCGTTGCCATGTGATCGCGGCATTTCCTGTTGGCTCGCAGCGGTGTTGCGATGTGGAGACATACCGCGGCACCGCAGGGTTTTTCGCTTTTCGTCGTACATGTAGTGTTTCCCTCGCGGCCAATGCTCAAAAGGCACACAGCCTGCAGCACTGAGGTTGTACTATCTTCATATATGTCACAACATCGTCATCGCCAACGAACAGCTTTCGCAGGTATGTACCATTGACATCGCAGGATAGTTCGCAGTATCTGACGCGTGTCCGTCGTGTGTATTGGACGGATCGATCGATCCAGCGTGCATGCCGTACTACAACCAAGATTGAGCGTTCACGAAACTAGAGTAGTGTGCCACTCTGTTCGGAAATACAACAACGGCTGTTCGGATATACAAAGGGATCGCTCATTCAAAACGGTCCCGGTGATACGAAACGTCACAGTGGGGTCGGGGTCAGTTTCTCATTTGGTCTCACTAACGGCCACAGCTTGTTATTTAGCGTTTTGTCAAGGATCCGCCGCTGAGGTTTGTTCCTTGTTCCAGTTTTCTGTTTTTCCGCGAAAATCTGAGCCTCTGTTTTTCAACGAGATATTTCTCAACCGCGGGCCGGTTCTGTATGACCCCTTATACATATCAAGACGGAGTGATGGTAGTGTTTGGCGGCAATCGTATTGTCAGCTTTCTTGTCTCTACTGAGGGAGGAAGGGCACGTGACAATCGCCCCGATCTCATTGTCTCGCAACATGGACATGGACAGGTCCTGCTGTACCTGGACAAGCGAATAGGAGAGTTCGTGGACATGCTGGAGCAGGAGGGCTGGCTCGAGAACTCTGTGATCGTGGTGTCAAGTGACAACGGCGCTTGCCCCGATGACGGAGGCTCCAATTACCCGCTGAGAGGCACCAAGCAGTCTGTATTCGAAGGTGGCAGCAGGGTAAGTACAATGCCGTGTTACAGCACCCATCAGTGTGTGCATCAGAGACCGTTTGGATATCGAGACGGTAGCAAGGTTAATTTTACGAATCGGTTTGGACGTACAGGGTCCCTTTGGATACGAAGGCGGCAGCAAGGTTGTTGGCGGCGATCCGTTTGGACATGTAGGGAGTAGGGACCGTTTGTGGGCACTCTCACTGATTGAATTGTCCTTCATGTTTTCAAACAGAAGGTGCGAAGGACGAGATGTAGCTTGACCGATCAAAGTGGCTTGTGTTATCGAGAAACTTCTGTCGATTTGTTCCCGGTCGTGCCCAAAAATGCCAAATCGTACCCCCTTTGTATTCAATACAATAGTGGTAATGCATACATGTGCAGGGGGTTGTTTCTATGCCGAAAGACGAAGTCGCAGACTGCGTTGTGTCTGTCAGTTCTTGTTTTGTTCTGCACAACCGTCGCCTTTCAAGATCCCTTTGACAGGAGGCGAGCATCAAAACGTCCACGGTCACGATTCATTCCCGTCAAAACTTGTAGCTGCCGCTGCTGCTGCTGCTGATGCTGCTGCTGCTGCTGCTGTCCCGTAACATGGTGCCATGCTCTTTAGGTACCGGCGTTCGTGTGGTCCAAGAGTCATCTTCCATCGCATGCGTGGGGCACCACGTACGACAACCTTGTGCACTCGACAGACTGGTTACCAACCCTCGCCAACATTGCTGGGGGAGCGACATCCGGCAGGTGCGTGCGCTTGCCAGAAACCGTCCTGGGTGATGACTGGTACCGTAGGTGGCATGACGTAAGGTATCACGGCCGCTGGACCAATTTTCCAAGCTTGGTTGCTCCACAGCTGAATGCAAGAGTTGTGGTGGCGGTGTTTGAACCGTCTCGTAGCGAGCTTTCCGAAAACGGATCGTGTGGTTGATGCAAGCCGGTGAAGGTTTCTTAGCGGGGGATCTGAAGTTTGTCGTGGTCAAGCCTGAGTTTCTTGAATGGGTCAGGTTCGTATGCGCACGGTGGCTGCGGGTTCTGTTGCCGTTTTCAGGGCGAAAGCGCCTAGGCTATTCAGGGCGTAGTCATGGTAGTTTCACCCCCCCCCCCCCCCCCCCCCCCCCCCCCCCCCCCCCCCCCCCCCCCCCC